GCAGGGTGCAGCAGTGAACCTGCGGGACGAGCGCGGCCGCACGGCACTCAGCCTGGCTTGCGAGCGCGGCCACCTGGACGCCGTGCAGCTGTTGGTGCAGTTCAGCGGCGACCCGGAGGCGGCCGACTCGGCGGGCAATAGCCCAGTGATGTGGGCAGCGGCGTGCGGCCATGGGGCGGTGCTCGAGTTCTTGGTGCGCTCTTTCCGCCGCCTCGGCCTGCGCCTCGACCGCACCAACCGAGCGGGTCTCACCGCGCTGCAACTGGCCGCCGCCCGCGGCCACGGGACCTGCGTGCAAGCCCTCACCGGGCCCTGGGGCCGCGCAGCCGCCGCCGCCGCGGCCCGGGGCTCCAACTCCGATAGCCCTCCTGGCCGTCCGGCTCCTGCGCCCAGCCCCGAGCGTCGACGACCCAGTCCTCGCCGCTTACCTCGGCCTCTCCTGGCGCGCTTTGCGCGAGCGGCCGGCGGCCACGGTCACGGTGGCGAGGCAGGGTCAGGGGGCAAGGGCTCTGGCCGGCACCGAGCGCAGGGCAGCGACAGGCCCGAGCTGGGCCGGAGCATGAGCCTGGCGCTGGGTGCTGTAACCGAGGAGGAGGCGGCTCGACTGCGGGCAGGAGCCCTAATGGCCCGACCACAGTCGCCCCAGTCTTCGGGGACCGGGAGGTGGCGTTCGCAGGAGGTGCTGGAGGGAGTGCCTCCGACCTTAGTGCAAGCCCCCATTGGCCTTAGCCCCCACCCGGAGGGCGGCCCCGGCTCTGGCCGTTTGGGTTTGCGCCGACGCTCCACAGCTCCAGACATCCCCAGCCTGGTCGGGGAGGCACCAGGGCCCGAGAGCGGCGCAGAGTTAGAGGCCAACGCTCTGCCCCATTCGGGGCCTGGGCCTCAGCCTTGGCAGGCAGGCACAGAGGCCATGGTGCTGCACTCTCAGCGGTAAACAGCATGGAGGTTGAGCCCTGCTCCCCCTGCTCTTAATGTCTCGCCTCCACTGGGATTTCTCTCTTCCAGGTCCTTCATTTAACTGGCAGTTTCCCGGCCTGTGATCCAGAACCTGTCCCCCACTGCCAAGGCAAGACCTTTACCAACCCTCTCTCTGAAAAGAGCCCCTATTTTATTTCTTTTTTGTGCTTGTTGGTATTCCCTGCCTAGGTCTCTCGCCTTCCCTACAGCCTACCTTTCCTGTCCTGGAAGAAGAAGAGTAGAAGACTGGTTCCACATGCTACAGCCTTCCAGCCAGGAAGATGGACCCCCTACTCTGAGCCCTAAGGCTCAGTTCTGAGTCTTGCGGGACTCCCGCCCCGACACTTCCTCCTGGCCAGTCTCCCACACCCTAGTAGCCAGGCAGCAGAAGAGTTGACTTGTAGAACAAAGGCCTAGCCTCCCCCCTCTGCGTAGTGATAAGACAGTAATTCTGCACGTGACCTAAGTCTCCCTTCCTCTTAAGTGTTGGAGAAGGAGAACAAGGAGACTGGCCTCTGAGCCCTTCTGGACAGGAGGGTTGATTGTGAAGGAGTCTGAAGGTTACGTTTTTCTGGGGAGAAACTTCTGCCTCGAGACAATGAGAGCATATTTGGGGGTGGCAGAGGCCTTGGTGTTGAATGCTGGTTGTCTCCTGAAACAGCTCCTGGGTGATTCCAGCTCCCTGTGCCTCTGGCCGACCCAGGATTCAACTTCATTGATGATGGGGGGTCATTGCCCCACACCAACCCCTACCCAGCCCAGCTCCCAGCACCTGAGCCAGCCTGTACTTCAGCTCGGGGGCATTTGAGTTTTATCTTTGAGGTCGTGTCCCTCGTGATCCAGCCTTACTTCTGCTAACTGTTAGAGGCCTGAAATGAAAGGACTTGGCACTTCCCCGCCCCCACCACCTCCCAGCTCCCCCGGTCCCGCATGTGGGTGCCATGTGGGTGCTCCCGCAGGGTGGAACGGTTGCGAAGGCTTGGCTTAATTGTATTTCTTCCAATCCTCAAAGAACTCGTGTTTTGAGTCTTTGTATATGAAGCAGAAAGCAGCGGGTCTGATCCGAGGCTTAAGAACCTGACAATGTCTCTTTAAATAGAAGCTCTGCGAGGGGGATAATTGACTGAAGTGTTTGCCACGTTGAACGGCGGCGCGAGGGAGTCGGGAAGCCCACACGAGCCGCAGGTCCGGGTTTAAATTACATCAAACTCTGGCGAGAGCTGGAAGGGGGCTGTTAAAGCGCTCCTGCTTCTCGCTGGGCTGTTAATGGAGGGCAGGGCGGATGGTAGATGCTGGAGGTCGAGACCAAGGACCCCTGCCTCTGCCCCGGCGCGTGGGACGCAGGCCGGGCAAAGCTTCATTACTGGGCAGATTAGTGAGTCAGAGGCAACCGTGGAGAGGTGGTTAAAAGCCCTTTTCCGGCGTGGTCCTTCCTCTCCCACCTCCCCTGCCTCCTCTTTGTGTTGGCCTAAGAGGGGGATTCTAGGAGGTCGGGTGAACGCGTGCCCTAGGACCCTGCGGAAACCCTAGCACAGGCACCTGTGCGCCCAGCCCGCGAGATGGCTGCGCTTGGGGGCTTTTTTTGTGAACCCCGAAGGTTGAGCGTGCAGCGCCTCACCCGTCTGAGGTGGGGGCTTTTCAAGGCGTCGATCTAAAACGCCTTTGCAGAACGAAAGGTTTCTCACCATAACTCTAAGGGGACTGCCCAGAGAGAATGATCTCTGCTGAGAAGTTGGGTCGGGGGTCGGGTGGGCATGGGGTGAGTGGGCGTTGTATAGATGTCAGACACCTTCCCAATCCTTCTGCCCCTCAAAAGTGCAGCCACCCCACTCCACCCCGCACTGGACGTGATCTCTGGTGCCCCCTGGTGGCAGCGCTGCGCCTACCTCACGGCGCCCTGGCTCGGAGTTGAGACTTTTTCTGGTTTCACTTGGGATCACGGCAATGTACTTCTCCCTCCGTGTGCATTTACCCATGGACTCCCCTTACTCTTGTGGTATATTAAATCCGGATACTTGAAGCCATTTCCCAGCAGTGGAGTGAGGGACAGTAAACAAAAAACCCGGATTTGGAGTAGCAGGAGGCCCAGACCCTTCTTCACTAAGGACCCCAAGATCTTCCAAATTAAGGCTCCCAAGTCCAGAGAGTTCCTGCTCTCTTCTGAAAAACAGGGGCTTCCAGCCCCTTCTTTATAATTTCTGAACCTTGGGACCTCCATTGTTTTCTTCTGATGAGATTTGCTTTCGTTTTGGGTGTGTATTGCCCTCCCCTCATTCATTTCTCCCCAGACATCTGCCTCTCCTTAGTCCCACTGTCTGGGTGGTGGGTGAAGGATACAGAAGCACCTGAAAAGCCAGGTAGAGAGGATCTGGGGTGGGGTGGGATGGGGGATAACTGGACATCCCAAGCACAAACTCTTGGCGCCCCCCCGCCCCCCACTCCGGCCGATCCCTGCTTGTTCGCTTATTCCCTTTCTGACTGTGTTTAATTTCCACGGTGTTTTTAATGGTGTAAGAATACAAGTATTTTGACTTCTTCAAAACACTGTAAGGTCTGGGGTGAACATTAGGTTGATGGTGCTGTCATCTTTCAAATGTTGCTGACCTGTGGCTTTCTGGTTGAATGTCACCCTGGGCCTTCCTTATTGAGTAAACAAGCATGAGGGCTCCTCTCCACGGAGGTGCCAAGGGCTTGGTGGTTGAAAGTATTGTTTCTAAAAGACCACAGCAGATCTTTGCTGTCTGCAATGAACTGTGTGTGACTGACTTTCTGTTCTTGCAGATTACTTACTAGTCCCAGCTCTGTGCAAAACTTCTACATCTCAGCACATTTTGCTCTCCTGCACTTCCTTCTCATTGTCAGCCCCCAGGCATTGAGGCTGGGGTCCTCTCTAGCTCGCTCACTTTAGAAGAGACCTTTCTAAACAGTTTTCTTTTCCAATCCTTGTTGCTTTCATCGTTGTGAAGAGTCACACAGGCCACTGGAGCTCAGTACCCTAACATCAAACTCAGAACTAGGCTGCATGGGAGGCCAAATGACGTCCGCACACGCTTTTGGAATGACACTGGGCGGTGGAAGGACTATTAGAACTCAGAAGAATAGTTAATAAATCCAGTATTATTCAGTTGCAAGAACTGGCCTCTCTTTGCCTCGCCAACTGCTCCTGATTCTGGGCTCCCTATGGAGTGACAAGAGGGTGTGCTTGCTTCCTGTGAAGGTTCTGCCTTCTGTCAGCCTCCATCCCTGCCTGTTCCACCGTGCACTGTGGCCGCCTCCTGAAGGAAGGACTCAGGTACTGCTTCCAACTGAGCTGGTGGGACCAGGACCCTGAGACCAGGGCAGCTCTCCGGGTGGGGCTGGTGTGGGGAGCAGGAGAGGGTCTGTGTGACTCCTGGATGCTGGGTGAGAGGTTTCAGTGAACCCTGGGGCTGGGGGTAGGATGAACTCTCAGGAAGGAAGTGCTGGAATCAGTGTCAGAGCTAGAAGCTTAAAGATCATGCCATCTACCTCCCCTACCTGCGGGACTAGGACCAAGGTGTATTGATTTCCAGTCACTGCACTGCTGCTCCCCAACCCCTCAGTTCTGAGAACAGAAACACAGACTGCCTTCTCCCTGGAAGCAGTTCCAGGCCACTTTCTATGGACAGCTGGAGGAAAGCAGCCTCTGACTTTCCTTGGAGTGGGAAGCAAAAGGGAGAAGGGAGACGCCGGTGCAGAAAGTGGCCATCAGCTCCAGTGGCTGCCCGCAGAGCCCCTGTGGTACCAGCAAGCAGAGCGCATGGCCCTGGTTTTCCTGGCTGGGTTCTTCTCCCCTGGGAAGGACAGCTCTGTCCGTTTCTCAGTTCTTTCAGTCCCAAGGGCCTTTCGCCTTCCGTTTCCCTTCTTATCCGCCCTCATGGGCCCACATGCCACGAGGGAGTTGGGTTTTCTGTGGACTCAGTGACCGCTGGGGAGCTCATATGGGAGGGGGGCACACCAGACAGCTGCTTGAAGTGTCCAGCTTGAACATAGCCTGGCTCCATTGTCAGAGACGACAGCCCAGAGGTTTTGAACACTCAGTTTAATTTAAAACAGGCACAAGTGCAAACAATTCACAAAAGTTTCTAGGGAAGATGCTTTTGTTTTTAAAACTCTGACCCTTAAAAAAGTCCTTGCAAGTTTCTTTTTTTTGGGGGGGGGGGCCCAAAGCAGGCCACTAGGGAGCAGAGGAATCTAAAAATATTATCTAGATAGGGTCCTGACACCTGGAGTTCTTCCCTGGATTCCCTGACTCACAACATCCCTGAAGGTGGGGAGGGAAGGGGGACAAAGAGACAGGTGTCTGAAGAGGCAGCTAGGGCAGATGGTTTGCACAAAGGGGGTGTCCATTTTCTTGACAGGATGGAGCCCCAGGGGGTGGTTCATCTCCCTCAGACCAAGATTTTTGAAAATAATGGGTCCTTGATGACCTGGTTATTGAGAGAAAGCTCACAGGCAAAACAAAGTTTGTTCCTTTACCATTCCCATCTCTGGCTCTCAGACTCCACAGTACAGGAGACACCTGGAAATCTGCGAAGCCCCTGGGATGTGTCAGCTCTCTTCACTGTTCAGGTAGAAACACGGGACTTAGGAGGTGGGAAACCAGGCCAAGAAAGCAGTCCCTTCCTGGTAGAATTTAGTGGCAGAAAGGATGGGAAGCCTTACTGAAGTAGGTGACCTGTGAGTGACCTGAAGGGAGCCAGGCTGTCAGGGTGACTGTCCTCCACTTACACACACACACACAATGTTCTCTCCATCCTGTAAAGTGAGATTATGTTTACCACCAACCGCATTCTTTCTCTTTTACCCAGACAAATGCCCTTCCTCCACCCCTGGCCAGAGAGCAGGCTGTTCACAGTTTGGAGCAGGCTGTGCAGGGAGAGTGGTGTCAGTGCAGGTGGGTCAGGAAACAGGTGCAGGTTGGACCGTACCTTCAGGAAGTCAGACGTAAAGGAGGAAGACGGCTTCAGGCAATAGAAACCTTCCCTGTGGCTCTCTTGAGACCCCAGGGTTTAGAGCTGGAGCTGAGAACAGCAAGTATCCTGGCGAAGACAGGCAGTCTGCCCTCTCGGTGACCTGGGATGCTAATGTACAACTACTTTTAAAAAACCGCAGCAGCTTTTTCTGCTGTGTTGGCCACGTGGCCAGGAGTGCGGGTCTCCACGTTTCTTAGAAATATCCCTGTGCAAATAACAGAGGGTCATTCTGTAGAAGGGGGTCTCCACCATCCCAAAGGCAACTGGGGACTCTCTTGGGAGGCAGAGAGACCGAGGGGCAGGTCCGGCCTGGCCCAGTGGGCTGAGGGGCAGAAGGGTGTGGGTGGGGTTTCACATTCGATCTTTGGAGAGAATACTGAGAGAATGAGGCAGGCAGGCCCCGCCGGCAGGCTGGCTGCCCAGTGTCCCCGGGCTCAGCAGGTGGAGGTCTGCTTGCGGTAGAGCTGGATCAGGGGCACCAGGCACTCGGGCAGCCCTGTCTGCAGCAGGAAAGGGTGGTCCAGGAGCTCCTGAGCCGTGGCTCTCTCCTGGGGGTCCCGCACCAGCATCCGTTCCAGGAAGTCTCGAAGCACTGGGGAGACCTGTGGAGACAGGGCATCGGTGAGAGGAAGCCACAGCATGGGGTGGCTTCGGGGATACTTGTCTGCCTGGCCCCACCATCATTTGAAAGTCTTGAATTCTCTCATTTCTTACTTCCTGGTAGTAGCTCCCAGACTCAGTACTTTCTGGATTATGGGATAGGTAAAGAAAATTGGCATCGGTCCAGGAAAAAGTGGCTAGATCACCTCTAGGGGGTGCTACTGAGCAGTGGAATTAAGAAGCCTGGTGTCCTGGGAAGCTGGGCTGCAAATATAGCCCATTCCTCACCCTGCTTCTCAGGGCTCTCAGCCTTCAGGTTCTGTGGCTCTGCGGGAGAAGCATGGGATTCATATTAGTGATCCAGTCCTGGGTCTATCCCTGATCTTGGGCAAGTTGCAATTTTCTCTAGACCTCAGTTTTCTCATCTGCCCAATGGGCTAATGATAAAATGTGCTTGCCCTGTCTTTAGTGAAGATAAGAAAGAGATCAGGGATGAAGTGTTTGGAAGAAAAGAAAAAAACAAAGTGGGACCTGAAAAGGGAGATTTCTTTACTGCTCTAAGCCTTAGAGTCTAAGTCAGGGGCTTATCTTAGTTCATTCTGCGCCAATATCTTGGGATTAAGCTAAATCTTGGGCTGTTACAGAAGGCTACCTCCTCTGGGGAATTAGCCAATTGGAAATCTCCCCATATGTTAATCTTGGGGCTGGTGGTGCAGGCTCCAAGGACCAGTTGTCTCGGAAGGTGTCTTCCTGTCTGTTCTCCCATCCAGCTATGGTGGGGCCACAGAACTATTATTCAGGGACTGGGCTTCACCCCTCTGGGACATTTCTCGATCTGGCCACGAGATGGCAGTGCCATTTTGCCGCCCTGTACTGACCTGCCCACCAGCAAGGAGTGTCCACTGGTAAAGGCCTGTGAGTTTGGGTGGATTTGACAGAAAAGGGTTACACACACACACGCACCCCCTTTAAGGGAAAACCTGTGGTTCAGACGTGGTCAGGATGTGCACCAATGAAGGACAAGGCAATTTACTATGACAGACTCGGAACACTGTGCCTTGGTATGGCTCCCCTGCCAGATGGGGTAGAGGGGTTCCTGCTCAACTAGCTTCTCTAGATTCCTGGAAGGCCTGCTTTCCATTTTCTCAGGCTCTTGTCATTTGCCTGCAGGCAGAAACTTGTCTGAGTGACCACAGAGGTTTGTGTACAGATGTGGCTCCACACCCAGGTGCAGGTTTTGTGCGGAGAAAGAAGAGCCTTTTCTGGGAGCCTCTGGCTTCTGTGGAAGGGAGAAGCTGGGCCTGGGAGCCCAGGCTCTGGTCCTCCAAGCCTCAGGAAGAATGGGGTCAGCAAGGGCACACCCTGTGCACTGACTGACCTTGTGAGAGTTTTTCAGCCTGGGTGGGGGGCTGTCCCGGAGCCTCTTCATGGCTTGCACTGGGGAGTCGCTGAAGTAGGGTGGCTCCCCGTCCACCATCTCAATCACCATGATGCCCAGAGACCAGATATCCACCTGCAGGAAGAGAATGTCCCTGATTCCACTGACCAGAGCTGACCCTTCAGTAGCAGTGTACCGCGGGGGGATGGGAGCAGCTGGCCCCAGCTTTCATCGGTGAGCTGGCCTCCTTCCTGGCCACCTGCCTCGTGGTCGGTTCCTTTCTGCATGAGTGCCCACTGACTGCAGGGACATAGCTGTCAGCCATTCTCTGAGAATGGCCATCACACATGAGGAAGCCCGGCCATACCCCACCTTGCCCTTGAGCTGCCGTAGGAGCATTTTCGAGAAGCAAAGTCACAAGTGAGAGCAGACCCATCTAAGAGTGGGCAGGGTGTGATGGGCAGTGGGGTAGGGTACTGACTAAGGAGGAATCTGAAAACTAGGGCTATTTGGGGGAGCGGGGGCGGGTCTTTGCAAGGGCCACAAGAGCTATTTGTTCCCAAGCTGCTTCTGGGAGGACTGGGGGATGGAAGGACCAGTTACCTCAGTCGCGTACAGAGACCTGGAGATCACTTCAGGAGCCATCCAGTAAGGGGTGCCTACCAGGGACTTCCGCTTAGGGACGTCTTTGCTGATCTGAGCACAGAATCCGAAGTCAGAGAGTTTCACCTGCGGTTGAGGTGAGAGGGAAAAACGGGAGTGAGTGGTGGAGCCGGAGCCGAGCTGGGAATATGGAAGCAGGGGGTGGGACGCGGGTGTACCAGGGAGGGGAGGGGCCTACCCTGCCATCCAGGGTCAGGAGGATGGAGTCACTCTTGATGTCCCGGTGGATGACACCTTGGGCATGCAGGTAAGCCAGGGCCTGCAGCACGGCCTCACACACAGTGGCGATCTGCTCCTCGTTCAGCCTGGACAGGGAAGACCACAGGCAGAAGAGAATGTTAGCTTTGGCGGGGCTGCAGGGCAGCTGGCTGCCAGATTAGGTGCCCCTGGTACCGGGCCCCACAGCTCCTAGGCAATATGTGTGGGGGTCCAGTCAGGCCAGGGCCCTGGTAGAAATGGGCCTGGACTTAGGCTGGAGACATTCTGGTGTTCCCCAACCCACTCTCCTGAACGCATGAGTCTGTTAACCCCAACAGACGGGAGGTGCTCACAATGACATGACAGGCACCCCAGTGTCCTTGGCCTGAGGCTGCACAATACTCCTTCCAAGACAGTGGGGGGCAGCCGGCCCTCCCACTGCCCAGCCCTCGCAGCTGCCCACCTGACTTGGGAGACGATGTCCGTGAGGGCCCCGCCCTGCAGGAACTCCATAAGCACCCACAGCTCCTCGCCCACCAGGTAGCTCTTGTACATCTCCACCACGTTGAGGTGCTGGTAGTCTCGCATGATCACCACCTGGGGGGGACAGGTGGGGGTGCCTGAGTGCCAGGCACAGTCCCCACTGCCCCCGCTCCCAGATGTTCATCCCGAGCGCCCCGCCACGTCTTGCCCTCTCCTCCCACCTCATTAAAGAGCAGCTCCCTGCGCTGCTGCTTCCTGAGGTCCATCATCTTGACGGCCACCTGGCGGCCTGAATGCTTCTCCCGGGCCAGGCAGACGATGCCCGTGGAGCCCTCGCCGATCTTCACGTAGCTGTCCAGCAGCATCCGGGGGTCACCCTGGTCCACCACCATCCTGAGCGCAGCCTTGAACTGCTCGTGTGTCACAACACCTGTGTCCTCGCCAGCCAGGGCACCCTTGGCCACCGTGGGGTCCTGGGGCAGGTACAAGTTGCTGGTGCTGATCTGGGCTTGCCTGGTGCGTGGGGAGCCCGCGGGGGAAGACCGGCCTGGGGGTGGGCCGGCAGCTTGGGCTATGCGGAGGGACTTCTGGGGGCTGCTGGTATCCGAGGTGGCCAGAGGGCTGAAGGTCCCCATGGGCTGGTCTGAGGGCAAGGACTGGGCCTTGGCCACCAGGCTTTGGGTGGGTTCTTTCTGCAGCGGTCGAAAAGAGGAGGTGGGCTGCAGGGAGGGAAAAAGAAACAGAAAGGGGTTTGACTGTGGGAGCATTTGCTGTGACCTTTCCAGAAGCAGGGGTTGACCTCTGGACAGGGGCAGGTCTAGAGGGTGTCAGACCAAATAGGGTAGGTGCTACAGGCAAGGATTTTCAAACGGAGCAGAAGCCAAAGCTTGGTTCTGCCTGGCAACCCAGCCCCCAGCATTCCCAGGTGAGCAGTCCAACAGCAGCTCTTTACATCCATTCTGCCACTCCTGGGAAGCTGAAGAAAGCAGAGTCCCTGGGGTGTCCTCTGCCGGGTATTTCTTCCTGGGTAATTGACAGCCAGACCCCTGGGAGGCCATCCAGAGGCCGACTTCCTTCTGTGCTGCTGGGCTGTGCGGGGAATCTGGGTCAGAGGCATTCTTCATTCCCAGGGCGCTCCCACCCAAGGGGCCATGTGGGTGGAAGAGGCCCTGGGTGGTGGGGTGGGGGTGTGGACGGCAGGGCAGCTGTGACTGGCTCCCAGCACAGGGCAGGGAAGCCACAGCACGGGCTCTCATAACCCCACTTGTGCCAGACAGCAGGGAGTCTGCGTGTCTATGCTGTGAGAGTGTGTCCCTAACAGAGGACCATAGAGCCGTGTTACCATCTGAGTGTTCTCAGGTATGCTTCCTGGGCTAGAGATCTGGAATCAGGAGGGCAGGTCTAGCCAAACCCAAGCCCTGGGGCCAGGGGTGGGGAGGTTTCCTAGGGGCTCCACAGAGCAGCCTCTCTACCTGCTCCCAAGCATGAAACTCCTGGCTGATGACCCCCACAAGGAAGGGAAGGCAGGGGCCTATCTCTATGGCCTCTGGTGGGACAGGAGGGGAAGTGGAATTGCATGGCAGACTGGGCCTCAGTGAGCCCAAGCCCCAGCCCTGGAAGCCTCTGAGGTTCCTTGCCTTTCAGGTCCTAAGCCCTCCTGGCAGCCCAGCAGGAAAGGGTCCCATTCTTGGGTTCTCTCCAAGGAGCTGGCGATGTGCAATACGACTCTTCCCAGGCATTATATGATTTTAAAAGGGGCACCCCAGAAAGCTCCAAAGTTACCTAACGAGGGACACTTCAGGAGCTGCAGAGAACTTCCTGGAACGTCTCAGAACCCATCATGTAGCAGCTGCCTAGGTGCCCAGTGGGTCCTGGTCCAGGTCCCCAGAGCTCCATTGACCTCCAGGAAATCTCCTCCGGCCCTCAGCTTGGGCGCTCACACCACCCCACTCGGCCCCTGGTCTTGCCTAGGGGTGAGCATGTGTGCAAGGGCCCCTGCTGGCAGAGAGCCAAATTGTGGCAGAGGGTGCTTGGGTTCAGCCTACACGGTGAAGGAGCCAGGAGAACCTCCCAGCACCCATTGTGACTACTCCATCCTGCCCACTGAGCACATCTGGGTAGTAAATAGATCTTCCCACGTCTTTGCCAGCACCTGGCCCGCACCCACCTTTCCCCACTCTGTGTGGTTGGAGCAGTGAGACCTCTGGACTGGGGGGTCACAACCTAGGTTTCATTACTACACTGCTCTGACCAGCGATGAGTCTTAGGCACCTCACCCTCTCTGAGCCCCGGTCTCCTCTATAAATGCACAGTGATCTGGGGAGCTGGATAAAATGCAGATTTCTGCCTCGGTAGGTTCCCTAGAGCAGTGACCCTGCATTTTAATGAGGCCCCTGGGCTCTGATGTAGGAGGACTGTGGGCCACACTTGGGGCAGCTTTGGACAAATGGGGTCTGTGATTCCATGGCCTCAGGGAGACTGTGGGAGGACTGGGATGGGAGTGGAGGGGGTAGGGCCACTGCTGAGGCTGTGAGGCCATGTCCCAGGAGCAGATGGTTCACAAGACTTCAGCCTGCACGGCTCACTACATCACAGGATCACCAATCACGAGGTAGCCCCTGAGGCCCTGTAGAAAGGCTGTCTGCTGGCCTGTGAGGTATGGCTCACAGAAAACATGCTCTCTGAGCATCTGGGTGGGGCTGGACAGGGTTTGGAGGGCCTACAAACACAGCTGCTCTCTCTACCTGGATTTCTAAGGAAGGCTTTAAAATGATTCCCTTCACCTTCTGGTTTCTTGGCCTCCTACACAGGCTATCTCTGCTCTGTGGTTGAGTGGGTGCTGTCAGTCGGTGCCGGGGGGGGGGGGGGGAGTGGGCGTGGTAAGGACAAGCCCTGTGGAGGGGCCTAGGAGGGGATTTGCTCCCCCTCTGCTCTCAAGGCCCCTGTGGAGACACTGCTGCAGGTGCTGGCTGAACCCAGGCACCAACGGTGCAGGGGTAGGTGGGTGGATGATACAGTAGGGATCCAGCTGAGAGCCCAGCTCCAGTGTGGCCTGGAACATGGGATAGGGGGTGGTGGGGACCCACCACCTGGACTCAGTCTTCACCTCAGCAGCATCTGGTCCCTTTGTTGGCCTTGCTGCCTGTCTCCACAAGAAGGGAGTTTCTACTTAATGTCACCACAAGAAAAAAGTCAGAGGAAACCTATTAAGCCACACCAAGAAAGAGAAAGGGGGACAAAAGATGGAATTCACTGTTGTGGGCTCTGGAGTTCCTGGTGTGATAGAGACGTCTCCTCGGGCGGGAAGCCACCAGAAGAGTCGTGCGTAGAGTTACAATGATGCCTCATTTTCCCTTCCCCGGCTATGATGACAGGGCCAGGCTCTCCAGCCGTGGGCTTAGGGGCTGTACTGTAAGTGCCTCAGAGGCAAAGGCCATGTCATAATATTTTAAGAACAATAAAGCCATTTATTGGGGGTATACCACTCTGACAAGGCCCTTAAATGCATTTCTAATTTAATTCTCACAACCTTGGGGCTTGTTTTATTATCCTATGGGTACTATTATGATCTGTATTTGTAGATAAGAAACAGGCTCAGAAAGGTTAAGTAACTTGCCCAGCGTCACTAGGTAGTGAGGAGCAAGGCCAATGTCAGCCCTGGTCAGCATAACTCCCTACCCCTATGCTGTGGTCCTACGGGAGGTACCTGGAATTTAACAGAGTACAGGGTACACAGTAGGTGTTTAACCAAGGCTTGCTGATTCTTGAGGTCTTCCGATTTGGCCTTTCTGCCTCTAAGTGGAACCACTCCTAAATCCCCCAAGTTCCTGTCTTAACTCTTTGGCCTCCAGCCCCCACTCAGGGTTGAGGTCTTTTGCTGTTTAGCCAAAGTGAGTGACTGCAGGCCAAGCTCCCTGGGGCTGGGTACAAAAGCCCTAGAGCCACAGACCCTCCTGGAGCCTCTTCCGGCTGGAGGTGACAATTGGTGGCTTGACCTCCTAGGGCACCAGTGCATGGACAGCTGCTGTGAGCTTCCTGAGCCAGCCCCTGGGGTGTGCTGAGGTGCGGAAGGCTGGCTGCTGGTTTGGTCTGGTGGTTCCTGGGGCTGTAGGGGTGGAGTAGGAAGCTGGATGCAGTGGTTCTCAACTGGGGCTGATTTTATCCCCCAAGGGACATTTGGCAATGTCTGGGGGGATTTTTGGTTATCCCGTCTGAGAGGTGCTACCAGCATCTAGTGGGTAGAAGCCAGAGATGCTGTTAAATATCCTACGATGCACAGGAAAGCTCCTACAGCAAAGGATCATCTGCTCCAAATGTCAATAGTGAAGGGGTTGAGAAGCTATGGCCCAGAGCAGCTCAGAGGAAGTCTCAGCCCTGCCTTTTAGAGATCTGGAACTGTGGCATCTCCAAGCCGCAGATGACTACCACCTGCCTCTGGTGCAGGGGACAGCCCCACACATGCAGCAGTGGTGGCCTATGGGAGATCCTTGGTAAAGTATGTAGGATGGATGGGCCGACAGAGGTTGGGTGGACAGCCTGATCCTGCTGTGGGGTGCTGGCAGGAGCTCAGAAACATGCATGTCAGTGCCCAGCCCAGGGCTGACACCCCCTTTTCCCAAACCCCCGAAGCCCTGCCACAGGACTCCCGAGAGGCCAGAGAGCGATCAAGTATCAGTTCTCACCTCTTGGGCAGCGTGAACTGTCCTGCTCCCACCTTGGTTTTCAAGGAAGTGTCTCCCCAGGGGATGGCCTTCCAGAGACCTCTCAGCTCACAGACATGTTCCTTATATGGATACATCAAGCCACATCTCATTTGTTCTACCCCTAAACCCGCACCCCACGTGGAAGCCCAGCCCACGTCCTTCATTCCAGTGACTACACAAAGCCCAGAACCTTCCCTGGATGCCTTGGGCTGCCAGTGACTTGGAAAGGTTAAGGGTCCAGGCCACTCCCCTAGCTGGAACCACACTCATGTACCACCAACATGGGAGGAGCCAGGCTTGCTCTGAAAGCCCTCCAGGGAGGGGAGGTCTGACTTTTTTAGGTCTGACTCCCCACCCTCGTGCTGCAATGTGAGCTCATTTCAACCAGCCCCTCAAGAAGGAGCTAGAGATGCCAGAAACCTTTAGGAGCAAGAGGCCTGAACCCCGAGGGCCCTCTCACCGTTTCCTTCCCTGACTCATTCGAGACACCTGGGACTTGTCCTACCCTCTCTGAGTACCTCTTGTCATTCTGCCTAATGAGAAAGGCTGGTGCTGTCACCACGGACAGGACATCTAAGGGCAAGAACAGTCTCCTCTGCCTGTCAAGAAATGTCACCGTTAGGGTTCCCTTCACTGTTTCCTATTTCACAGGAAAAAGATGTGCATTTAAGGCTGTCACGCATGCCAAAAGTCAGTTCTCCTGCTGCTCCCCGGCCCAGGCACACTCATTGCTCTAGCTTTTCACAGGGCACATGGACTCCAAATAAATCATTACAGAACGTTCAAACGGCCACTAAAGGAAAAGGGGAGGAAGGAAATCATTCTCACCGGAGAAGGGGTTAAACCTGAACATTCCTGATGCCTTAGGGAGAAGCAGTCTGGACAGGGAACCTCAGCAGGACCTGAGGAGAGCACTGGGGCAAGCAGGGGGCGGAGGCCGAAAGAAGCTGACAAGAGGGAGGCAGAGACCCTGCCCCTGTCCAGCACCAGAGCACCTGGCTCTGGGTGCTGGGGGCGGGGAAAGGTCTGGGCTTATGGTTAGAGGTGTTTGCCTGCCAGTGTGGCCCATCTAGACACACCACAGAGGGCAAGAATGTAAACTGGGATGTACCAAAGGCCCTTCTGAGGCCCCCACCCCGCCCCAGAAAATGAGCCAGCCTGAACCTGACTCACCTGTGCTAAGGTTTGGAAGACCAGGGCTTACTTGGTTCAGGGTAGAATCCTCAGCTGAGGCTGAGCTGGCTTCTTGATCACTGTGTTCCCTTATGCCCTCCCTAGCCTGACCCCGGAAGTGGGGAAGGCCAGGTTCCTGGGCTCTGCTGACGGGGCCCATCCCAACCTACCTTGCTCTGAGAGGGAGGGCCTGGCTTGCTGCTGCTCGCAGGGGCTGTGGCAGGAGTAGACAGGAACATGCTTCGGAACAGCCTGCGCTTAAGGCTGCTCTCCTGGGTCTTAGGGCTGGGGCTGCCCTCCCCGCCTGGCCTGCCAGTCGCCGAGCCCACCAGGCAGGACTGTGGCCGGGCCTCCTCGGAACCATGCCTGGCAACCTTGGTCCCACGCCTACCAGTGGCTGCGGGGGGTGAGGCGCCGGGTGGGGAGCTCTGTAGGCAGGCACCCAACTGCAGGCAGCGCTGTGTGGCACCCTGGAACTCGGTGGGGCCTAGCGACTGTGCCTTGGTGGCCAGCCCGTTGGGTAGGACTCTTGGGCTCTGTGGCTCCGGCCACGGCATCTGCCTGCGGCCTGCTGGTGTGCCCCCGTTGCAACTGAGGTAGAGGCCATGGGGGTCCGTGCGCTCAGACTGGGGGCTCTGCAGGTACATGTCCGGGTCAGCGGCCCAGTGTTCATCCCCCAGCAGCCCTAGGGACTGTGCCCGCCGCCGGCTGGTGGGGCTGCGGCCACGCAGGGTGTTGGAGCTGATGACCGACAACTTCTGGATGTCGTTGAGCAGCCCTGATATGTAGCCGTCCATGGGCACCGAGCTGCCCCGCACCACGGTCTGTAGGGGAGGGAAAAGAGTGTGGGTGAGCAGCCAGTTCATGGTAGGGAGCGGTGGCTCTGGACCAGATCAGACAGCCTTCCCAGGGGCCTTCGGGAGAAACACCTGAGGATCTCGCTTGCTGTGTCATCTAGCTGTTTCTTAATTTTTCAGTCACTCACCAGGGTCCACAGCAGGTTGGGCCTGTGTGGGGGCAGAAATACAGGGAGAAGGCCTATTGTCATGGGGCTCACAGTCCAGCAGGGCAGACAGGGAGTCAGCACGCCAAGTGGTGTGGGCATCTGAGCTTCGGGGGCCGAGGGGGCACAGAGGTAGGGTCCAGACCCTGCCTGGGGTCGGCTGTCATTCTCTAGCTCTATCTGTGGCCTTATGGGAGACACACAGAGCTTCTTGAGGAGGCAGTGGCCAGTCTAGGGCTCTCCTCCACATTAACTGGCTTTGTGGCCTCCAAACCCTGGCAGGGCCCCTGACCCCAGCCCCTACCAAGCTCTTGCCCTTCTTGACCCACACAACTAAATCCCCCCGGTCTGGGAGCTCCAGCCCCAGAGGGGCTGCGGGTCCAAATATTGCCTGGGATACACTTAATACTGAAAGATTATTCATTGTTGTCTGAAATTCAAATTTTGCTGGGCATCCTGTATTTTTCTTTGCTAAATCGGGCAACCCTACCAACCTGCATGCAGAGAGGGACGCCCCAGGCTCCTCCTCCCTGGAAATTCAGTCCTCACCCAGGGTGAGGCTGATTAGCAGGGAACGCAAACAGCTAGCTAATCGATAGCTGGTAATTAGGTGGTTCCTCCAGGTGCCTTTGTGGTTTTGCCAGGCATGGGCTTCTGTGGACTGGGAGAGGCCAGACTCTGCAGGACCATCCCTGCTGCCGCCTCCCTTACCTTCATGGGCTGGAGCTGCACCCGAGTAATTCGAGAAGGGTCCACCACGGGCTTGGGTCGCCGAAGCGTGTCCAGGATGTTCTGCCATTGTGGTGGGAGGCCCACAAACTTGCCTTCTTTGGGATCAAAGGAGGTGTGGACACGGTGCTGGAAGTTCTGTGGGGCTGAGATCTCAGGGCGTTTCTTCTTTTTCTTTCGGAACATGGTGCCTGTGTGGGTAGGGTCAGGCTGAGCTCCAGCGAGGGGCTTCATGGGAGCCTGGTCCAGGGAAGCATAGGTGGGTGCTACCCCCACCCCCACCCCTCTCTCAGTGCTCCCTCCCCCAGCCCAGGGCTTCCCTCACCTCTCAGCCCTACTTCCTCAGGGAAATGGCCAGCTCCCAGCAAAGCAGTCCCAGAAACAACAAAAGTGCCAGAAATAAGCCAACACAGACTACAAACAAGGGAAAGAGGTGTCTGTCTCTCTGCCTGTCTGTGCCAAGTCTCCTGCCGAGCAGGCAGACTCGGGGGGTGTGTTTTTCTAAGATCCAAAGCCCATTACAAATATCATTCCACTGTCAATAATTTAAAGAGGGGAAAGAGGGAAGAAAGCAGGTAAATGCATTTTATGAAACATGTACGTACAACCTTGACTCTTAAACCAGGTAAGAATAGTACAACAAAAAGAAAAGCTGAACCAATCTCACCTGTGAATAAAAAGGAAAATCCTAAACAAAACTAGTAAGTTGAATCCAACAGCACGTTAAAGTTTTTTGTTTTTTCTTTCAGATCACATTCAACTCCTGTTTGTCCCAGGATGGTTCAACCACAGAATCCCTGTTTATGTGATAAATAACATTCATAAAAAAGCCAACGTGTTATGCAGTCTGGGACCACGGATCATAGGATCAGGGACCCCAAAAGGGCCCTCTTGGTCACCAAGTGCTTGGCCCTCATTCCAGAAAGGTCCTGAGTTAAGGGCACAGCTGGTGTGGGTGAGGACAACTGTACTAGGGGTAGGTCTCCCCAGGGAAGAAAGCACTCCCCCCCCCCCCACCCTTGGGCCTTTCCCCTTGAGTCTCAGGACTCTGTGCAAAACATCACTTGTAGCCAAACCTCCATTCTTCTCCTTGCTAATCCGGGCTTTGCCTAAGGCCCTGTGAGCAATGTCAACAGCTACCAGGGACATGGGCACTCAGACTTGAGATGGGGAGCCTGGAAACCCAGGGTATAGTGATGACCCCAGCCTGCCTTCAGGGAGACTGGTCAGGATGGCTACTTGAATACTTTTGTACCTGAAGTGGCTCAAAACAGCTCAATGTGGGGTTTTGGGGTTGTTTTTGTTTTAATTTTTTCTTTATTGGGGCCAAGTACACTGAATGGGCTCTAATGCCACCTGGAAAGTCCACTTCTAAGTTTCAAGAAACAGACATATTTGTTTCTTGAAATGAATGCTTGGATCACTCATCTATCCAGAGATTTGGTGCTGTGCTTCTGACCATTTTCTCTCTTTCCCTAGCTCTCTTTTTTGGTAGTGTTTGGTTTTGTTTTTGTTAGCAGTAAACATAAGTTCTTGTATATAAAACAAACAACCCTTCCCCCCAAAGATTTGGGATACAGAGCCGTGGCATTCTCTTTTGGCTCCTGTTCCGGAAATAGCATTTTCCTAGTCACTTTAGCAGGCTCTGGAGGAGGTCACGGATCTGGGAGGCAGCTGGCACCCACTCAGAAAGGCAGGGAGGCTTGAATAGCCACGGCTTTCCCACCAGGAACTCACCACATGTGAGTTAATCTATGTCACACCTCTTGGAGTGTCAGCAACTTATGGGACCTTAATGTTGGGAGCTTACCTAATACTCCCTCTAGACAAAGCCACATGTGCGGGACCCCCAAGGACCAAGGCCTTTGGAATGAAATAGACCTGTTGAGTTGCAGGTGAATTGTAGGGAGTCTCCCACTAATTTGAGGAGGCTTTGAGCAAGCTACCCAAATGATTTGTGTCCCAGGGCTCTTCATTTACAAAACCGGGCTCACAAACCCCCGCCCCCCCCCGCCCCCCCCCCGGGGCCCGGGAGGCTTAAGTGACCAGACCTCCCAGTGAACAAGGGCTACTTCTTTTGCCATGTTACCTCTCTGTGAATCTCTGTCTCTGAACTCAGGGCCCTGCAGATACTGGGATATGAGCAGATACAAACCCGGGAAAGATGTCCAATATCTTTCTTCACAGATTCATTGGTCAAGGGACCACACCTAATTTTGAGGGTTTGGGCACCTCATCACCTCTCCATTATATAGACACTTTGAGGTTTGGTAAAACATCCTCTTGCCTCTCAGCCTTTGGCCCCCGGAGTCTTTATTCAGCAGTTCTGTCCTTACAGCCTCACAGACAGACCCTTTGTCCCTAGATTAGCTTCACTGATGGTTCCACCTTCCTGCCTCACTATGTGAACTTAAATGCAGATGTAGGGATGCACCCTAGAACTGAAGAAGAGCCAGCTAATACTTTTATCCCCAGAACATCCCTCTCCCCAGTTCCGCAGCCTCACCTGAGTGCATTCTGTAGGAATGCACAAGGACAGCATCTTCAGCAAATAGTAAATGGCTCTAGTATCCCCCTCCTGGGTCCCCTCCTGGGAACAAATTTTTTCCCAGGGGCAGCAGGAAAGGCTGGAGGAAAAAGGACACCACAGAGTCCTAGGACCCAGAGTTGTGGTGGTGGGTGTGGGGAGCAGCTGGAAGCAATGAACTGAACTCAGGATTTAGAGGAGGGGGGAAGAGAGTCAGAAATCAGAGCCAGGGGCACCTGGGTGGCTCAGTCGGTTACACATCCAACTTCAGCTCAGGTCATGATCTCACAGTTCATGAGTTTGAGCCCTACATCAGGCTCACTGCTGTCAGCACAGAGCCCTCTTCAGATCCTCTGTCCACCCCCCGTTTGCCCCTCCCCCCCTCTTTCTCTCAAAAATAAAATAAACAGTGAAAGAAAGAAAGAAAGAAAGAAAGAAAGAAAGAAAGAAAGAAAGAAAGAAAGAAAGAAAATGGCTGTTGTAAACAGGCCATCATGTCCAAATAAAATAAAATAATCAGAGCCAATCACTGAGCTAGTGGGAAACCCCCACCTAAAGAGAGGCTGTTAAGACTCATCCCAAGTGTGGTGAGACTAACACTATCTGGGACAACATGATTTGTTTACATAGAAAATCGAGAAAGGACTACATACAAACTGTTGGAATTAGGTGAATTTAAGGTCAATATAAAAAAATCAGTTGTATTTCTTCATACCAACAACAAACAAATAGAAAATAAAATTTTAAATGTGTACATGGGGTCAGCTCCATGTACATATAAAAAAATTTTTTTAATGTTTATTTTTGAGAGATAGTGCAAGCAGGGGAGGGGCACGGAGAGAGGGGGACAGAGCATCTGAAGCGGGCTCGGCACTGACAGCAGAGCCAACAGTGAGCCCAAGTCAGATGCTTAACTGACTGAGCTATCCAGGTGCCCTGGAAATAAAATTTTAAAGATTCTGGGGTACAATGGGAAATAGATATTTGATTTTAGTTTCCTGTTCCTGGCACACAACTCCCCAAACCCTTGGAATCCCAAATGGAAAGAATCTTTCAGCCCTGCCTCACCTCTGGGGAAGGAGAGGGACTGGAGATTGAGTTACTTATCAATGGCCAATGATTTGATCAAGCATACCTGTGCAGTGAGGCCTCCATAAAAACCCTTAAATGACAGGAAGCAGGGAGCTTCCGTGTTGGCGCACCCGTCAAAGTTCTGGGAGGGTGAAGCACCAAGAGGGCGTGGAAGAAGCTCCGTCCTGCCCCATACCTGGCCCTATGTATCTCTTTCCTTTGGCTGTGCCTGGGTTGTATCTTTTTTAAGTTACAAAAAAATTTTTTTTAATGTTTATTTGTTTTTAAGAGAGAGAGAGAGAGAGAGAGAGAGAGTGCAAGCAGGGGAGGGGCAGAGGGGAAACACAGAATCCAAAGCAGGCTCCAGGCTCTGAGCTGTCAGCAGAGAGCCTGACATGGGGCTCGAACTCGTGAACAGGGAGATCATGATCTGAGGTGAAGTCAGATACCTAACTGACTGAGCCACCCAGGCGCCCAAGGGTTTTATCTTTTATAAGAATGAGTAATAGTAAGTAAAGTGCCTCCCTGAGTTCCATGAGCCATTTTAGTAAATTATAGAACCTGAGAAGGGGCTCATGGGAACACTCAACTATAGCCAGTTGGTCAAGCCTGACTTGTGGCCCAAGACTCACAACTGGCATCTGCAATGTGTGTGGGGGGAGGGGCGGGGGGGGGGTGTGGGGACTGAGCCTGTGGGGTCTGTGCGGACTCCAGGTAGTGTCAGAATTGAATTGAATTCTTGAATACCCAGTTGGTGTCCAAAAGTTGGAGAAATGGCCTCAGGAGGGGAAAAAAAAGCCTTGTCATTTGCTATCAGAAGCGTTACCATGGAAACAATCCCTCAGATACCATTTACCATTTTACATTAAAAATGTCAAATACCTAGGAATAAGTCTAATCAAATATGTGCAAGGTCCCTACATTGAGAAGTATAAAACACTATTAAAGATATTAAAGAATGTTCACAGACTGGAAGACTCATTGATACAAAGATACCAATTATTTCTGAATTAACTTACAAATTTGTTTCAATCACAGTCAACATCCCAGCATATTTCTTTTGGTCGAAATTGACAAACTGATTACAAAATGTACAAGGAAACATAAGGGGGCACCTGGGTGGCTTAGTCAGTTGAGCGTCCAACTCTTGATTTTGACTCAGGTCATGATCCCAGGGTCCTGGGATTGAGCCCTGTGTCCAGCTCTGTACTGAGCATGGAGCCTGCTTAAGATTCTCTCCCTCTCTCTCTCTCTCTTTCTCTTTCTCTCTCTCTCTCAGTCTCTCTCTCCCCCCCCCCACCATTTTCCCCCTCCCCCACTCACACAGTCTCTCTCTCTCTAAAAACAAACAAACAAACAAACAAACAAACAAACACAAGGAGAAAAACAGGCTTTGGGGCACCTGGGTGGCTCAGTCATTTGGGAGTCCGACTCTTGATTTCAGCTCAGGTCATGATCTCACGGTTTGTGAGTTCGAGCCGTCAGGCTCTGTGCTGACAGTGTGGAGCCTGCTTGGGATTCTTTCTCTTTTCTCTGCCCCTCTCCTTCTCATGCTCTCTCTCTCTCAAAAGAAATAAACTCTAAAAAAAAGCCAATTAAAAAAAAAAACAATGTACAGAGAAACAGAATCAGGAATACTAAAGATAATCTTGAAGAACAAGGTTGAAGGATTACCCTACTATATATCAAGGATTTATTATAATAGTACAAAAATTGATATAGTGTGGAACTGGCACAAGGATTGACAAATAGCCCAATGGAACAGAAGAGAGAATCCAGAAATAGATCCAGTCATATAAGGTCACTTAATTTATGACAAAGGTGACATTGCAATATGGTAGAGAACAGATGATCTTTTCAATAAACGTAGCTGTAGCAATTAGATATCCATATGGAAAAAAATTAATTCACATCATATCCTGAAATGAATCAGATCTAGATGTGAAAGGTAAAATAATAAGCTGGAGGTGGTGATGGGGGGATGGGAGAAGGGGAAACCCACAGACAGGCCATTGCCTGCCCCAGGTCCAGTGTGGGTGACTGCATGGGGTCCCAAGTTTGGTGGGCTCTCCTGGAGCCGCTGGTCTGCTCAAAACCTTCACACCCATGGGTCCCAGAGACAAACGGAACTACCAAGGTTTCCTTTGTCCAAAGCCTAATTCTTGATGGCAAAGGTTAGGAGTAGGGGATCCTTTCCGA